CTTCTACAATGGCAGTAGGAGTAGTAGTAAGAAATAAGCAGTAAGTAAATAGACCAATCACAATCGATTATTTTTGAAACGTAAGAATGGAATTGGTCAATTTGCTTACTGCTTGACGTCATAAGTCTCTACTAGCTAATCCTAAAGCGTCTTCTACAATGGCAGTAGGAGTAGTAGTAAGAAATAAGCAGTAAGCAAATTGACCAATTCCATTCTCATGTTTCAAAAATAATCGATTGTGATTAGTCTATTTACTTACTGCTTATTTCTTACTACTACTCCTACTGCCATTGTAGAAGACGCTTAAAGCTTATTAGTACTTGTTCGACCAATAAACGCAGGCTGAATAACCCAGAGCCAGTCGAACATACTATGAGGTTGAATTGAAAATTGGCCAATTAGAGCAAAGTTCACTAAACTTGAGCTTAGTGAATTTTGCTCTGATTGGCTAAATTTCAATTCAATCTCAATGGCCGCGTTCAGTAGAACAAGTGATCAGTAAGCGCTCAGTGAGCTCTTGCATCTGATTGGAGTATAGTTGGAGATCTAAAAGAATATGCCAAATCATATACAAGAGCTCCCTGAGCGCTTACTGATCACTTGTTCTACTGAACGCGGCCAATTCTAATCTATAGTCTGATACGGGCTTTACAGCTAACCAATCACGAAAGAATGCTCCGGTTCAAATGCCGCGAATTGTCAGCGGCGACGGTATACGTCATCTTACATTAGCCGTATGATTATCGTATTCTCCTTTTATCTGCTCGCCGTTCCGAGACGTTGTGTGTGTGGCACGTGCACTGCATGGATTGGCTGTAAACATTGATGCATTCTTCTCGTAGCTAATACAATTTTTAATGAAGTTTCCAGAGGTACGTAGAGATTCCCGGCGATCAGTTTATTTTGAGGTTATCTATAAGATTCAAGCACGCGTAATAACATCATCTGTCAATCATTGTATGTAACATGTGTAAATTTTATCCGAATTCTTATTGTCCGATTAATTTTATACGACTGACATATATATTAAAGTACAGTCAACTGTGAGTTTCAGTAAAGACCTGACATGCAAAATTTTTTTTACTAAAATAACTTCTATGAAGCTTGAAATTCGAAAGAAGCTAGGATATCTGATAGCTATTTACAACAACAATAATATTTTTTTTCGCAAAACGCGTTTTTTTTGTCAAAATCTGCCAATTTAATCGTATTAATCAATAAAAATATAAGATGACACATGATATTTATTGGTGATGTAATACTTAGTGATAATTCTTTTTCCTATGTTCCAGATGGGAGTTTTTATATTTCTTTCCATGTTGCTGTTGTGTTCCACACAACTCGGAGCTGATAAGAAAATTAACAAATATGTGACTACTTTGATAAATGCTAAATGGAATGAGACACCTCTGGTTCTCGAAGCAGCTGAATATTTCAGTGATGAAAATCCAAGTTACTTTTGGAAGTTTGTTGATGCATTTTCCAAAAAGACAAATAATCTTGTAATAGGTGAATATTTAGTTCTACTTTAGCAATTACAGTAATTATTATGTTTTTTTTCATTATTACACGTAACATTATTCCAAGCAGCTACAGAGAAGGAGAGTTATGATATAATTATGGAGCTAGCTGAAAATTATCTGTCTGAGTCAGAGATAGCAGTTTTTAAACTAGGATTGTCTCTACGTATTTATTCCGCACGTGTTGAAATGTTCTCTCAAATGGCTGTGAATAAAAACATTTCTTCATATGAGTGCAACAACATTGTTGATATTGGTGGAACATTTACTTGTTCTCTAGAAGATATAGATAAGTTATTTGATTTATCTCAAACTGAGCAGGTTTGTAACTCTTATATAATTTCTATAAATATAAAATATATACAACAATATATATATATTATTATATTTTTAATTTTGCAGGATACATGGGAAACCACAGATACTTATGATATAGATCATCGTTATTTAAATACACCAGAAACTGATAAGGTTATAATATTATATGGTCAGATTGGAACTCCCACATTCATTGATTTTCATGAGAAACTGAAAAATATAGCTGAAACAAAAGGAATTAATTACATTCTTCGTCATTATGTAAAGGTAATTAATAATTTATGCAATAAAAGTGATTAATTATATATATTACAGAAATTTAATTATCTTTAATATAAATATTTTATAGGAAAGAGCAGATAAGAAACTGCGTTTGTCGGGTTATGGTGTAGAACTGCAGATGAAGTCTACAGAGTACAAAGCAACTGATGATTCGGACATCAGAGACAACACAGGCAAAAACTCAGAAGTGACAAATGATGGTGTGGAAGAAATCGAGGGAATCAACTTTATGACTTTAAAGTAAGGTGGTTATTGGGAACGTAAGGTATTTGATTTGTTTCTCTTATGTAATACCTTGAATTGCGCTATTAAAATGTAATGTACCTTTCTAGAAAACTTTATCAGGATCTACATGTTGAATTGGATAAGATACAGACACACCTACTGGAAACCAGTCACGAGATCGGAGCCTTAAAAGTGTGGCAGTTTCAGGAGCTAAGTCACCAAGCAGCTGAAAGAATAATGAAGTCTCCATCAACAGAGTCATTAAATGTCTTAACTGATATATCGCAGAACTTCCCTATGCAAGTGCGTACTTTAAAGTGAATTCTAAGCCGAATATGTATGGTCGAGTATATGTAGTAATTGATATATTTATGCGTGTTACAGGCAAAATCGCTAATCAGAACCAAGGTAAACAGTGATATGAAAAAAGAAATGAAATTAAATCAGGAAATATTTATGGCAAGCCTGAATATACAGCCAACTGATACGGCCCTTTTTATCAACGGTTTATTCTTTGATCTGGAAGCTATCGATGTACTGACTCTTCTGGAGTCTTTGAGGAGCGAGCTACGAGTAATGGAGGCTCTTCATAAAATTGGTATGTAATTTATGGGAGATTAAATGTTATGCATCACATGATACTCAGTTTATTCGTGCTCCAAACCGTGTGTACTAGAAAATGACATTTGTGTGAATTGTTGCAGGCTTCAATAACAAAAAAATGAGCAAATTATTAGCTCTGGATTTATCTGGAGGCATGGATAGCCAGAACTTCGCAATGGACATCAGAGATTCGGCGATCAATTGGATCAATGATATTGAAAATGATTCGCGCTATAACAAGTGGCCACCGTCGTTAACGGAGTTGTTACGACCAACTTTCCCCGGCATGCTCAGGAATATCCGAAGAAACTTGTATAATCTGGTTAGTGAAAACGTCACTGAACTTTAAATTCAAGTTTAATATTTTTAATATATATAAAGTAAAACTTTATTTTCAAAATATACAAGTCAGACGGAAGAATAACAAGATCTACTACTCTTACTTGCCTTTAATATTTTACGTGTGACATTTATGTATTTAACATGTGCTGTTTTTTCTTCAGGTGTTAATAATCGATCCTTTGAGCGAAGATTCTATGCCACTGATAGCTCTAGCACAATCTCTCTATTCACATTCCGCACCGTTGAGGGTTGGATTTGTCTTCGTGACAAATTACACTTCCACTGTGACAGGTTTGACGGACGCCGGCGTTGCAGTTAACAACGCGTATCATTATTTCGCAGACACTAAGAGCACTAAAGAGGCTGTACACTTCTTAGCAGAGGTAACTAGTCTATATAGTTTGTTGTCCCGCTATAGTATCGATATCAACGAGGAGTAAGAACATTAATTTCTGCCTTAGCTAGGAAACTATATTGGATCCTATGGCATGGACGTGGAAGACGTCAAGAAAACAATCAAATCCAAAGATTCGTCGGCTAATATAAATTACATACTCGGCGAAGAGTCGGAGTACGACGTGGGACGACATCTGGCCAACGACTTTATCAAACGATGCGGCTTTAAGAAGTTCCCGCAAGCTTTACTGAACGGCATACCCTTAACGCCCAGTCAGTTGAACTCTGAGTCGTATGAAGAAGCTGTGTTGTCCACCATCATGTCACAAACGCCCACCTTACAGAAGGCTGTGTATCGCGGTGATGTGACAGAAGGAGACGACGTAATTGATTTTCTCATGAATCAACCAAATGTCATGCCACGGTACGTAGCTCATGAAATTATAAAATGATAAATTATTTAGTGTGCGCTGTGCTGACTAGTTCGTCCTTTCAGATTAAACGAGCGTATCTTGAAAGTGGACAAGCACGCGTGGCTAAACCTAATCGGTACGATTCATGAAGATGAGGATTACACTAAATGGAGCCATCAGGATTTGTCGACTTACTTGATGAAAAAAATGCACTACTTCTTCGTGCCACGTCGCAGTAACACGCATCACATGTATTCCTTCTGGGTCATGGCAGACTTAAAGTCATTGCTTGGTAGACAATTGCTGCGAGAAGCAGTTATATATGTAGTAAGTAACTTAGAAATGAAGTATCTTGTGTATACCGGAGAACGATAAAATATATTAAATTGTCATATTTTTTTCTCAGGAATCGAATACCGACGCGCGAATTAGTGTTATTATTAATACAAAGGATGATTCTAACATAAAATCTGACATTAATAAAATTGTTCTCGCCGCATTAAACGCACTGTCGCCAGAAAAGGCTATACTTTATATACGTAAAGTTATCAAAGAAGAGAATGCGGCTCTCATTGCTAATGGTAATTTTGAGATTGAGGTAAGACTCTAATTGATATTATGTGCACGTTATTGCAAATCGTTTCGTTAATGTAATTCATGTTTGTTATTGCAGGATGATGCCGTCGCGACACTATTGGAAAATCAAAACTCGATACTACAGTTGCATCAATATTACGTTAAAAATGTCTTGAATCTAGAGTCGGGAGCGAGAGCGATTTTATGCAATGGCCGTATCATCGGTCCTCTGGACAGCGACGAGGAATTCACAAACGAGGACTTTTCTTTATTAGAAAGATTCAGTCAGAGTACTTACGGAGCTAAATTGTTCATGAGATTGTTAAAGGACCAATTCTTTAACGACGATGAATACGGTATTACGATAGATTATTTAAATTTTATTATTTTAATTATTAAAATTTTTCATATGAAGCATATTTTCTCCGACGCTTTTACACGATAAAAACAATGAAATCTTTATGATATTTTCTATAGAAGAGAACGATATCACGGATGATATGATTATGAAGATCGCTTCGCTCTTAGTGCCACGGCCACAAACTCGAAATCGATTCGATGTTCCTTTCCACGGGGATGATCATAGGTAAAACAACGTTTGACTTTTCGTGTTACCTTTTTAAGTACGATCGTTACAGTTAAGATAACTCATTGTTTCTCTTTCGCAGCGTCATCAAAATTCCCGCGGCTAATCCCGACGAAGTTGCCTTCAATTTCATCGCCATCGTAGATCCAGTCTCACGTGGTGCCCAAAAATTGGGTCCAATACTGAAGACATTGCAACAAGCTTTGAACTGCAATATAAAGGTGTTTTTGAACAGTTTAGAGAAGAATAGCGATATGCCATTGAAGAGGTATAGTAATGCTATATTTTTCTCGCAACTGCTTTGTCGAACCCTAATAATATATTTTTCTATTTTGTTTCCAGTTTCTACCGATTCGTACTGGAACCCGAGCTGCAATTTACAGCGGAAGGAGACATCAGCGGTTCCCTCGCAAAGTTCACGAAACTTCCCACTTCCTCATTATTGACACAATACATTCACGCTCCCGAGAATTGGCTGGTGGAAGTAGTCCGCAGCGTTTATGATTTGGATAACATTAAACTGGATAACGTTGCAATCGGTGTGCACAGGTAAAATTGAAATGATAAATTTATCGTTGCTATTGCTTTTAATAATTTGTATGTACATGTATCGATGTATGTATATGTATAGTGAATTCGAGTTGGAATACCTGCTGCTCGAGGGCCATTGTTTCGAGGCAGTGATGGGAAATCCACCGAGAGGCCTTCAATTCACATTGGGTACCGAAAGACAGCCAGTGATGGTCGACACTATAGTAATGGCCAATTTGGGCTACTTCCAACTGAAAGCGAATCCCGGCGAATGGGTGTTGCGACTGCGGCAAGGGAGATCCGCGGAAATATACGACTTCACCACCGTGGACGGGCAAGACGCTATTCAGAATGGTAACAACGTAAAGGTCCTGATAAGCTCATTGAGAAGCCACGTGTTGAAAATCAAGGTATCCAAGAAGCCGGACAAAGCGGGCATGGACCTTTTGTCGGATAACGAGAAGGATACTGGATTGTGGAACTCTATCTCTAGGTATGTCCAGTCGATCGGGCTACTCCGTGTGTTCTGATCCGGTTTCCCGGTTAAAATTCATAAATGCTGGGTGTTAGTATTTAACATGTGTAGCACGATGTTTCGTTACCTTTGAACTTAACTTTTATTTGTTCTCTCTTTTTTAGCATTGCCAAATTTTGGTAAGCTTCTCATTATTATGTAGTTAAGTACATCCATAACTCTCTAAGTATGTGTAATTAAATGTCGAAAAGAGACCCAGGATAAAGATGAATGCGACAAAAGACATATTTGTGGCTTGAACTTTTAATTGTCTCAGTATCATCTTAGTACGTTGCCTCCTCGATTAAACCTTCTCGACCATTGATATTAGCTGCTTTATGTTTACAAATTACCGATATTCTCGTTTGCAGCCTGTTGTCCTATTAACTTTAACTTAATATACCGCTGCTTCGATAATGTAGCTTGTATTAATTGCAATCTTTTATTGGCTGATATAAAATAACTGAATCGCAGTTCATGCAAGTTTCTGATGTCTCGATTTACTCCCGAAACTAGGACATTCGCCACGACAGACGAGAGCGAGGACCAAGATGAGAAACTAAATATCTTCTCTCTCGCGTCCGGCCATTTGTACGAAAGATTCTTGAAGATTATGATGCTGAGTGTCATTAAACACACCAAGACGCCGGTGAAGTTCTGGTTTTTGAAAAATTATCTTTCTCCAACGTTGAAGGTAAATAAGCTGTGTGCAATATATAACAAAAAAAGAAGTTTTTTTATTCTTCGAACATGAAACCGTAATTAATTTAAACATTTCCTCTTTCACGTTATAGGACTTCTTGCCACATATGGCCGAGGAATATGGCTTCGAGTACGAACTCGTTCAATACAAATGGCCTCGTTGGCTTCATCAGCAGACGGAGAAACAGAGAACTATCTGGGGATACAAGATACTCTTCCTGGACGTACTATTCCCGTTGAACGTGAAAAAGATAATATTTGTCGACGCTGATCAGGTAGGCGCGATGGATTTAAAAAAATATCGAATATAAAAATAGATTAGGCTTTATTTTGCATAATTGCTTTGCCGTAGGTTGTAAGAGCAGACTTGAAAGAATTAGCGACGATGGATCTTGGTGGCGCGCCGTACGCATACACACCGTTCTGCGACAGTAGAACCGAAATGGATGGATTCCGATTTTGGAAGCAAGGATACTGGAAGAATCATCTGCAGGGACGAGCGTATCACATCAGCGCGTTGTACGTGGTGGATCTCAAACGATTCCGCCGTATTGCAGCGGGCGATCGGCTGCGAGGGCAGTATCAAGCATTGAGTCAAGATCCAAACAGTTTAGCGAATCTTGACCAGGTAAATCAAATTGTTTAATCTCGATATTTATAAAGATAGAGAAGAGAAATAATTTATTTCACATCAATTATGTCAAAATCGTCGCGTTCTGCATCTGCAATACAATTGATAACAATTTTAGGATCTCCCTAACAACATGATTCATCAAGTAGCCGTCAAAACGCTGCCGCAAGAGTGGCTGTGGTGCGAAACGTGGTGCGACGACGCGTCCAAAAGATATGCTAAAACCATAGACTTGGTACGTACGTCTTATTATATCGTAAAAACGAACGCGTCGCGACGCGTACTTTTCACGCTTTCTATATTACGCTAAATAATGTTACATTTTTCTATAATAATTTATTTATTTATTATAATGTTTTATTTTTCTGTTGCAGTGCAATAATCCAATGACCAAGGAAGCCAAGTTGCAAGCGGCCATACGCATCTTACCGGAGTGGGTAGGCTACGACGAAGAGATCAAAACTTTACAGCAGAAGGTGGAGAACGAGAGTAGACAAACAGAGAAAGATGGTGGTAAGTTTTTCTTTCATGCAATATACAGGGTGTTCGGAAAGTACCGGGACGCCCGAATATCAGGAAAAATATAAGTTTTACAAAAAAATGTTTCAGACAAAAGTTGTGGCGTTTAAAAAGATGTATTTACTGATCACATCAGTTTGACCTTGGGTTGCGTAGCGAAGGTCAGGTCAAGGTCACATTAATTTTTTTAAATGGAA